CCCCACACGTACCTGGAGCAGTTGGCCTGCTCCTGGGGGGTACAGTGTGAGATGGGAGGGCAGAGGTGACACGGGGACAGCCCTGCCCCCTGCCCTGCCTGCCACACTGGTGCTGGAGTAGGGACCGGTCTTGTGTCATGCCCCACCTCCGGGAACTCCTCAGCTAGGGATGGGCAGTGCCAGCAGCATCCCCCGGGGAAGCCGTGTATCCCAAGGGAATGGGGCAGGGACCAGTGGACGCCTGATCCCTCTGGCCTGTCACCAAGCAGCCAGACAAGGGCTGGGATGTTGTTAAAAAAAGCATAGAAGCTAAATATAGCCCCGCTGGCTGTGCATGGATGTGGGCTGGAGGCACTGAACGCCTGGGTTCGCCCTCTGCCTGCAGCTCCTGTGTGACCTTGGCTGGGCCCCTTGGTCCTCTTCTTCTGCCTACTGCTGCACTGCCTGTGGGTCTGGCAATGTCTCAGGCATCCTACATCACACTCCCTGCTCCCTTGGAGATCCCCTTGGATCTCCCAGCAAGACCCCCAGGTCATGCACAGAAATGGGGCAGCTCGACCTGTTGCCCCAGACCCTCCCCAGGAGAGGGTTGTGGGGACCTCGGGGTGTTCAGCCCTGGTGGTCCCCACGGGCTGGCATGTGTGTGGGGCACAGAGGACAAGTCTGAATCATCCCCATCCTGGATGTTTAGCCAGTGCCCAGCATCCTGTCCCTCCCTGTGTCCCCCCCTGGGAACCGAGTGCCTTTTAATATCTGTGGCCTGTTTCCTTAGCAACTGCATTAAGCAAATCGATGGAGGTGGTGTCATTGGAATGGGAGGGCATGCCTCCTTCCCCCCAGCCCCCCCAGCCCTGCCACCCCCCCACGCCTCCCTCCAGTTGGCCTCTCTCTGCTCTTACTCACAGGCACAGCCCTGCTCTGCTTGGGCTTTCGGCCGTGGCTCCTCAAGCTGCCCACCACAGCCCCACACTGACCCCTTGCTCACCCATAGCACATGGTGGGCACCCCAAAGTAGAGGGGTGACAGCTGACACCCCCTTGGGGACAGAAGCAGGGGTACCTGGGGATGTGTGGTCTGGCGGCTGTGGTACTGGGGTGAGGGGGCTTCAGGGCTGTGGTGGGGAGGGGGTGGTGGGTGGGGGGCCATGAGACACCCCCACCATGAACCTGGAAGGCCTTGAGATGATTGCGGTGCTGGTGGTCTTGGTCCTCTTCGTCAAGGTGCTGGAGCAATTTGGCCTCTTCGAGCCTGTGTCCTTGGAAGGTAACGGGTGCGGGCGGTGGCTGCTCTGGGGCCGCAGGGGTCAGGCAGCGCGTGTCCGGAGCTGTCCCAAGGACGCTGCATCCACGGGGGAGTCCTGGGACATGGTGTCCATCTGCTGCTCGTTGGGCATAGGATGCAAGGAGAGGGGTGTCCTGCCTGCTCCGGGCAAGGTCCCAGTGTCTGGGTACGTGGGGAGGGGACGAGGGCTGGCAGGGTGTCTGCTGCATGGTGGTGGCTTTGATGTGCGCTGAGTGCTGCGGGCTGGGACTCTGTGAGTGTACAAGTAAGCATTAGGATGTTTTCCAGCACCTCTATGGGAACAAGGTGTCTCCAAGGTCTGTGGTCACCTCACCCAGAACATGAGGTGTCAGACTGAGGACCAGCCTGCAAAGCAGTCAGGCCTGGGCAGAATGGGTGCCTGCTGCGTTCCCTGCTTCTGGCTCTCCCCCGGTCACCCTGTGGCCCCTGGGCAGTGTGGGAGGACACAGGGGGAGCTGCCTGGCTGCGGATGAGCCCTGCAAGGTGCTGAGCAGTGTGTGTGGGGCACAACTGGCAGAGCCAGGATATGCTCAGAGACTGTGTGTGGTAGGAGGGAGGTCAGGGCAGCTTGGCTGGGTAGTCCCTGGATTCCAGGGGTGATGGCTGTGTGCCCTGCCCATGCCTGCAGGCACTCATCTGAAGGATGCTGCATCTTACCCAGCCCCGGCCATTACGGCGCATGCACATTGAGGAGGTGACAGGCAGTTTGCCTGGTCCAGTGGTGCAGATAGGGGTATCCCTCTCTGGTCCCTCAAACCTGCTTGCAGGACATGAAAGCATGGTGAGTGGAAGCTTTTATTGCTGCTTAACTGCTCGCTTTGTCCCTGTGCTCCAGCAGCAGCGCCCCTAGGTGGATCATGCCAGGAGGGAAACTGAGGCAGCAGCTGAGCCAAGTCTGGCAACTCCAGAGCCATCAATACTGCCTGCCATGCTTCCCCTGCTCCAGCTGCTGCCCTGCCCCGTTCCCACCCATTGCTGTTTCTCTGCCCAGGCTGGTGTCCTGCGGATGGGCTGTGCTGGGAGGTTTTGTGCCACTGCAGTGATGGGCTGGGAACAGAGCATCTCCATAGGACCCTGGAAAAATACCTGAGCCCTGGGGAGGGGTTCAGTGAGAGCAACTTGCAGTGAGACTGTCTGCCCCTGGAGGGACCACAGAGGGGAGGGAGACAATGTGGGGGAACTGCAGCTTGGTGGGTTCCCAGACTCAGCTTGATGAGGCACCAAGCAACCCATCCTCCATTGGAGCTGGCCCCCCTCTGAGCAAGGGTTTGGACAGGAGTGCTGGTTGTCTGTACACCCTCACCCTGTCCCCTTGGCCCCCTCAATGTTTCCCGTTGTACCCTGCTGCAGGCTTGTTGGCGCAGCCAGAGCAGCTGTCTGGCAGCAGCGCTGGAGCATCTCCTGTGGATGTGCTGTGCTCCAGGGGCGATCGATGCTGGAGTTGACTGGTTAACCAGTGACGGGCCATGTCACCCCATCACTGCCCTGTGCCACCGCACCTGTCCCCAGCCCCCAGCATCTCCCAGCAGAGCTGCCCAGGGGCTTCCAGCCCCCTGACAAAAGCCTGCTTTGGCCAAGTGCTTGGGAGGGGGCAGACAAAGAGAAATGCTATCGATTCTGGCTCCTGAAGTGCAGCATCAATAATTCAGCGCACAGCAATCGGTCCCAGCTGGGAGGAGGAGGTGTGGGGAAGAGGCGAAAGGCGGGTGAGCCGCCTGCGTAGCCCAGCCTCTGATGAGTATTGGATGAAGCTGCAGATTGCTATCAGGAAGATATCTGGTGCCTGCCCAGGGCTGTCCCTGCCTCAGCTGGGTCAGGGTCTGTACATGGGGCAGGCAGGATTGAGGGTGCCTTGGAGAGTCCCTGATATGAGGTGCACTGGCTCCTGCCTTCCCCATGGGATTAAAGCTGTTGCCCCAGAGCTGAGGATATGGAGGGGGAAGAGGGGCTGGGGAGAGTGCCAAACCCCTCCAGAGTCTGGGAGGAATAGGAGTGAGCAGCAGCCAGCCTGGGTGCCACCAGCACCCCAGAGGATGCTATGCAGCAAGCAGCATGTCCACCTCCTGGCACCTAACGTAGGGTGAGGGTCCCTCCAAGCAGGGGAGAAAACTAGCATCCCTGTGGTGTTGGCGAGACTGAAGCCCTGCGTCAGACCCTGCTTTCCAGGAATCCCTTTGGCACCAGCGTGGAGCCTCAGCTGCAGGAGGGAGCAGCCATTTGGGGCGTGATGCCAGAGGTCCTCAGGCTCACGGCACCATCCAGCCCGGTGTGTTTGACAGATCTGAGAGGTCAAGGCAAGCTGGCTGCAGGTGTGGTATATCTTGGAGCATGAACTCCAGCCTGCCATGCTGGGCAGCTGCAGGGGCTAGGGTGCACCAGAGATTTCCCCATGTGCAGTGAGTTTAACCCTTGCCTTTCCTTTTCCAAGGACTGGACAGGGTCTTGTATCTGAATCAGGAGAGAGATGCTCATTCATGGTGAGGGCCTGCAAAGCAGGAGGGCAAGGGGCAGAGATGTATGGTAGCTGTGGCTGGGCTCTGAGTTTGGATCCCAGCATAGCCTTACACTCTGAGGCATGCTGCAGCTGGGCTGCATCCTTGGGTCTTGGAGAAGAAGGTCTCCCATGGACCCTACGTTCACCTCTGGAGCATGTTCCACGTGCTCCACACCCGGAGACATCAGCCCTGGCCATTGCTATGGACACAGGATGGGCTGCACTGTTTTGCTCTGCCTGGAGAGGGTGAAGCTGGGGGAGAAGGGGACTTGGTTCTGGGTTCCCCTTGGCTGTGGTTTCTGCTGCCATGGTCAGGGAAGGGCAGCTCTCCCAGCACCAAGCTCCGCAAGGACTGCAGCACCCACAGCACTCACCCCACCAACTCTGCCACTGAGTGGTGTCATGTCCCGCTCAGCCCAGCCAGATGTAATTAGCTTGTTGAATCTTTTCTCCCTCCGGCCTCATGTTAATCACTTTTCACATTGCTTCCCTCCCAGTTCCCCTTGGCCTGGCTTGCCTTTTCTGTTGCTGATGTGCCTGGAGAGGGGAGCAAAGGGACCCGGCTGGACACAGAGCAGAATCCCATTCTGTTGCATCCTGCCCCAAAGACAGGCTCTGAGCTAGTGGATGGAGGTGCAGGGAGATTGCTCAGCCATGGGGAGCTGAGAGAAGATTGCAAGCTGGAGAAAAGACAATAAAGCTAGATAGCAAGGGAGCCTGCTGGGACAGCCCTGCCTTGCACTCCTGTTCCACTGATGGAAGATCAAACTTTGGAGTCCAAAGGGAGAAGTCTTGGAGCTGGTCTGGGGCTCTCTAGCACAGGGTTGTGTTGGGCTGCAGTTGTGAGAGCTCAGAGGGGTCTCTGTCACCTCTCCCATGCAAGGGGTGGGATTAGACCCCAGGACTGGGCACAGGTGGGTATACAGGTGCCCTGGCCAGGGCTCTGTAGGGTTTTGGTCCCTGGAACACAGTTAGCAGGGTGTTCCACACAGTGTCTGTGCTTGGCTGCAGCATCTCCTCCCAGGGATGCAGGTAAATGTCTCATTTGCCTTGGGCATCTGCCCAGGGCCTTGCTGTGCCACTGGAGCAGGGGGTGGCCAAATCAGAAGGAGCTTTTAGGTGAGAGATGTGTAGAGAACTGGACCAAAGACTTTCTAATAACCACTGCTGCCAGGCTCGGGTCTCTATCCTGCTGCCCACAACACAGGGGTTTGGGTAGGCTGCAGGTAACCCTCACCCCAGCTGGCTGCCCCTCCACGTTGCACTCCCTCCAGGCAGCACCCCATGGGGCATGTTCAACTCCAGCAGCAAAAGAGGTACCCATGGCTGGCAGACCCCAGCAGTGGCTCCTCTTCATGCTGTGACCTTGCATGTGGCTGTGATTTACTTACTGGTGCAAAGAGGTGCATGGGGAAGGAGAAGGGGGTGAAAAGGGAAGAGGGGAGGGTGGCAGCTGTCTGTGGAGGTGGTTGGTGAGCAAGGCTGAGCTCTGAGGCAGGGAGCTCCTTATGCCATGCTGTGGGTGCATGCAAGGTGGGGCACTGCTGGGGGGCAGATTTGGGATAAGGCAGAGGGGCTGTTCCTGGGCTGGGTAGCATCAATGTCCCAGTGAGAGATGAGCTCACCCCTGTTGGGTGAGAGGAGCAGCCAAGCCTCCTCCATGCACCCATTGGTGACAGTTTTGCACCCCTCTATGGCTCCCAGTGGGGGGGTGCCTGTGCCAGGCTGTGTAGGTGCAGGGGTGAGAGCTCACCTCTAAGTCCCTTGGGCAGCTTTGTGGTCTCCCTCCTCCTCTGCAGCCCGGGTCCCCCGAGGGACCCCAGAGGGTGCTGGGGCGGGAAGAGGGAGGGCCAAGGCAGGTCTCTCCTCCCCTGCCCTCCCCTTTCCTGCCTTGCTGGGTCTGTTGCTCTCAGACCAGCTGCCTGCTGGGGCTGTGTCTGGGGGGATGTCGGTTGCTGGAGTGCTCTGGGACCCGCAGGGGCTGCAAACGGTGGGCATCATTCTGCTGCTCTGCTCCAGCCTCAAGCTACTGCATGCCCTGGGCATCATCGACCTGTCCAGGGGAGGTGGGATGGGAATGGGGATGGGGTTGGGGTTGCAATGGGATGGGATATGGTGGTGGAGTTGCTCCTCGCCTCCTGTCACAGGGGCTGTGGGGAGGTTGGGGGAGATTTGGAAGGATTGGTGTGTTTTGGGGGTTTTGTATGTGTGTGGGGTGGGCTATTAGGGTGTGTGAGGCTGTCTGGTGGAACTAGGGTGTAAGGAGTTGGAGGACTAAGGATGTTTGAGATTGTTGGGGTGCTCGGGGTGGGGGTGGGGGGAACTTGAGTGCTATGGGGAACCCCTGCACGGGTATGAGGGATGTTGGGGTGCAAATATCTGGAGACACTGGGATGTGGGGTGTTGGAGTGCAGGATGCTAGAAGGTTATGGTATCTGGGAGCATTAGGATAGGGAGCATCTGGGTCTGGAGGCATTGGGGTGCTGTAATGTGTGTGGTGCTGAGGGACTGGGACTTTCTGGGGTGTTGGCGTCTGGGGCTTTGGGATGCAGGGGGCTGGGCTTTGTCAGATGATGGGGTGATTAGGGCTGGGGAGGTGACTGGGAGCTGGGGGCAAGAAGTGATGGATGTGGGGTATGGCACCATGCAGGGGAAGTTTCTCCCCCATTGCTGAAGGAATTGGCAGCTATGGGGGGGAATGTGGCTGAAAGAACCTGGAGCCCCTGGCCCCTTTGCCCTCCCTGTGGAGCTGTGCCAGGGTTGTGAAGGGAAGGGGCTGCTGTGGGTGCTGAGCATCCTGGATTGGCATATGGGTGCTGAGGACAGGGCTGAATGTGGCCAAACAAGAGGACCCAAAACATGTCAGAGTGATGCACGACCTGTTGGTTGTGTCTGGTGAGGGTGTGAGTGCAGAGAGCTGCACATTGCTGCTGCCTTGTCTCCCTTGACAGCCTTCATTGGCTGGCATGGACATCCTGGCTCAGACAAAGGCTGACAAAAGATCTGGGGTTTGTTTGCCCCTATCCCATCTGGTTGGCACTGGCAGCTGGGGGTGCTGCAAGATGAAGGGGCTGCAGATCACATTCCCTTGGGCAGGCAGATCTTGGGATGGGAGCTGTGGTGGGATGACATGCCGATAGGAGGGATCCAAAGGACCAGTTAGTAGCTGATCAGAGGGAGGAGATGAAGGTGCTGTTTCCAGGAGGTGCTTTCAGTCCCCTTGTGATGGAGGATGTCCCTGAGCTGTCTGGGATCTGACCAGGATGAGGCATGTCCGGGCTTTTTCCCTGTGTGTTGTTGGCGAGGGTATGGATGGCATCTGGGTGATGGGTATGCAGAGCGCCAGCTCTCTTATAGGATACACTTCCTGCAGCCAAGAGGACCTGCTGCTCTGCTGGGGCACTTTTGGGGTATTGGTATATATTGGGGCATTTAAGGTGTCTCTTCTGGTACCTTAGATGTGCCAGTTCCTGCTGCCAGAGATGTCCCTGCCATAGAGGTGGTGATGGGGACCCTGCAGGATGTGTCCCTGTGCTAAGTTTTTGTAGCAGGGTGATGGCCACGGCTGTTCCAGTCCTGCAACCTTACTGACTGCATTTGGAGAGTCCTTGAGCTCCATTGTCCCTTGTCACCTGTATCCCATCCCCTTCACTTTACATTTTGTACTGAGAAATGATTGTTCTGCCAGCATCTCCTTTGGGCACAGCCAGGCTGTCTGGGAGCACTGTCATAGGCTGGGGACGGGGACGGGAATGGGGACAGTGCTGCTGTGACTCCTGCTTTGCTCTATGGCCCCTCCTGGCCCATGCCTCCTTCTCCCTTTGGCTCCTGCTAAGCATGAGGGTTGTGCAGCCCCTCTCCTCTCCCTGGCACTGTGGAACACTCTTTCCATGGGTCCTTGCTGCCCCATGAACTGCAGGTCTCACCCAGCAGCTCTGCTGCCCCCAGCGCCTTCAGCCCTGCTGGCTCTGGGTGTCTGGGCTGAGGCTGCTCTGTCCCACCCCCAGGACAGGGCCTCACTGTCTGTCCCCTGCCCTGGGAGATGCCAGCTCTGATTTCATTCCCCTAATGGATGACTGTCTGGCCCCTGCAGCTGCTGCAGGCACCTTAGCCCTGGTTACGCTCTGCTCTGTCACCACTGACTGATGAGGGCTGTCTGCAGAGCTGCTGCTGGTGGGACCCATCCTGACCCCCCAGTGCAGCTGGGGGAGCTCCTATCTCCATTGCAGCCTTCATTGCAGGCCCCTGTCAGCTGTGGTCCCCTCACCAGGAGGTGATGCTGCCTGAGGCCAGGCACTGCAGAGGGAGAGCAGAGCTGGGGGCTGATGGACCCTGCTCAGAGCTAAGCCCTACACAGGGATGATTGTGAGACAGGTTTTAGGGGCAGCTGAGCTCAGCATTGCTGCCCAGATGGACCCAGAGCCATGGCCTGGCAGGGGGAGCTTGGTGATGTGCCTTCAGCCTCACACAAAAAGGGGATGCTCTGGAAGTGGATGGAGGCTCCTCTACTGAAAAGAACATGTTCTGGGAACTGCCAATCCCTTCCCCATGCTCCCCTGGCCCTGCCATGCCACTTCTTCTGGCTCACCCCTCTGCCCTAGCTGGGGTTTGTCCTCATGCTTCCCAACCATGCTATCTATCTGAAAAGGCAGAGGGTCCCCTCGCCAAGTGCATTATCCCATGTCATCCCTGCTCCTAGGGCAGGGTGCTTGGTGGATTGTCCCTGCGGTACCAACTCCTGCCCTTCCACCTGACCCAGTGTTGCCCCATGGAGCCAAGCTGCTGATGCAGATTCCATCCTGGAATGTGCTGTGGACAGGCATTCAGCTGGGGACACTAAGGAGGGGTCTTGCTGCGGAATGCACATCTTCCACCCATTGTGGTGATGCATTTATTGAGGAGTTACTGAGAGAGCGAGCAGGGGAGTTTTGGCACTGTTGGTTTGTTATTGTAGGGTCTTTTCTAGCAAGATGGTGCTAGAAGGGGTGGGTTGGTCTCCCCAGCCAGCTGTTACCGCAAGGGTGCTGATGGCTGTGGCTCTGTGGGGAAGGGAGGGACACAATTATGTATCAGGCTGACCCTGGCTTCTGCTTTTCCTCTGGGGAAACCATGGAGAAGCTCAGGCTTAGGTCCTCCCTGGGAATGGGGATGTCATCCCAGTGTCATGTAACCCCCTGATCCAGCATTGGCTGGATCCAGCCCCCAGGGACACATCCCTTCTCCTTTTGGTGCTGCCCAAAGATGGAGGCTTGGTTTGTGTGTGTGTGCGTTTCAAAGATGCTGGGCTGTGGAGTGACGCATAGGAAATGACAAGCCACTTAACCTAGCAGACCTCCCACTGCAGATAAACCACCGCCAGCCCCTTCTGCTGGCTTGCTTTCTGCCAGGCACCTGATGGCTCTTACAGAGGCAGAGGGGCAGAGCAATGGCTGGAAAAGGAGCTGTTGCTGGCAGGGATAGGGCTTTGTGCTGTGGACATCCAGTGTGCCCAGCAGGGAAACACACGGCCGGGCTCTGCTCCTGCTTTGGGCAGAGCTGTTTCCCAGCAAGGGGGAGCCCAAGGAGCCTCCAGACATGCTCATGGTTTGGATGCTGGGATCAGAAAGGGCAAGGTGTGTCCTGTCCAACAGAGCCCTCAAGCGCACTAAAGCCAGGACAGCAAAACCCCAGCCCTGGTCACCCCTCTCCTGTTGTTAAGCTGCATGTGCTGAATGTGCTCCCTCCCCTGCCCCGGGGCCCCTGGAATCAGGCCCTCTTTGGTTTCCTCCTTAAGCAAAAGCCCATGTTCTTTATTTTCTTTTTTCTTTTTTCCTTCTTTATAACAAACTAAAGTGTTACTTGCACCTGACCTGACCTACTGCACGTGCCTATACCTGCTGCCCCTGTGAGTCCAACCACAGTTTACTCTCTGTTGCATCTCTCCCGGTGTGTGGTTTCCCTCCACCCTGCTCCCTCCTCTGGTCCATCACCCTGGCACTGGGTGTTGCTCTGCTCACTCTGTCCCTTTTGCCTGGGTGAAGGGGCTGTTTCTTCCTCCCAGGTCTGTTCCCATAGCTCGGCTCTGCCAGAGGGACCCAGAGCGTCCTTGGAAGGCTGAAAGGTGCAATTTCCCTTTCCCTCTGCGAATTAAAGCCCTAGAAAAGTAGCTGGGTCAAATCATGTTTTAGGCACAACTGATGCCTGCTTCTAGGAAAGGAAAAAGCCTTCTTCCTCACCTGCCTGCAAACCCCAGAGAGACAGGAGCCAGGCTGTGCTGTCCTGCCAGCACCAAGATCCTGGCCCCACCCTTGCCCCTGTCACCCTGTGACAAATGACAAATGCCAGGGGGTGCATTTGTGCATCCCTACATGTTTGCACAGCACTAGCACCCTCCTGTGGATGCCACTTCCCTTGAGACAAGTGGCTTTATGTGATGTCCTGCTCAGACAATGACCTCCTGGAGCTGTTCTCCACTGCCCCAGCTTGCTGCCTTGGTGTGGGCTCAAAGGGTCCCAGGTCCTGCCTGCGGGCACTTGAGGACCAACCTGCTAGCAGGGGCTGCTGGATGCAGATTCAAATCCCTATCCTGGAGCTGGGTACCATGCAGCACCATTTCCCCAGCACCGGGGCCTCAGCTCAGCCCCACAAGGCTAAGAAAGCCCCATCTGCTAGCCCCCCTAGAGAAACAACCCCAAAACCAGGATTCAGGATGAAGGCATCTGCTGCTTGCAGATGTCCAGGGGGCTTGGAGCAAACACAATGTCAGCAGAGCCCCCAAGGGACTTTGCACCTTTCATCCAATTGGTGCCCTATGCTGCTGTCTGCCTCCCTTTGGGGTCTGGAGCCCAGCACAGCCTTCATCCCCCTCCTCTTCTCCTCCTCCCTGCCTGTGGCATTACTCCTGCACTGAGGCTGGCTTGAGGCACTGTGGGGCCCTGTGGGTCTGTGGCTGTGGGGCAGCACTAGCTGGGAAAGATAGGGCTGAGCAAAGCCAGTAAGGTCCAGAGGGGGGAACAGGAGATAGTGGTGGGGTCTGTGCAGTAAGGGGACCTGCTGTTAATGCAGGGACACTTGGAAGTGATGGCCATGGGCCAGGCTAATGTGGGGAGCCCCTCACCCTGCTCCATAGCCTGGCCGAGGCAAAGCCCTGAGCCCTGTTCCCCTTCTGGCTGTCTTAAAGCAGGTCCCTGGGCTCGGATCCCAGTGCTGTGTTGGGGAGGGGGTGCATGCTGCAGTCAGGCTGCATGGCTGGGTTTGGTGCATGCTTCGTGTTCAGCCTTCGGGTGCCAGCAGGATCAAACTCAGCCCAAGCTTTGGGGAGGATATGATGCCCCGGCTCAGCTGCAGGCTGTTTCCTGGGCTCCATCCTGCCCTGCCTCTCTGCACAGCTCCATGGGGTGGGGAGGGAGCAGGTATTTTTCATGGAGGCTAATGGGCACAGTCCAGCCCTGCCATCTCCTGGGTCTCTGGGCTGCTGTGTATCTCCAGTGCACCCCAGCATGCTCCAGTGGTGGGGTGCAGAGGGGCTGGGTGTGGGTGGCCCAGCAAGGTTACCCCTCTGCCATCGCCATGCTTCCCAAGGAGGAAAACTCCAGTGCCGGGTTTGTCCTGGGATGAAGCTGAAAGGCCAAGCAGAGCCTGGGCTGGGCTTTGCTTTCCTGCTCCTCTGGCCTCACGCTGCATGTGCTGCCCCTGCCCTGCTCTCCTGCGCCGGGTGCCCACCCTGCAGCCGCTGGGTCCGGGGCCGTTGCTCTGTTAACTCTTCTGCTTGGTGACTCCTTCTTTCTTCCAGGCAACCCGCCGGGCCAAACTAAAAAAGCGCTGAAGCAGCGATTCCTCAAACTGCTGCCCTGCTGCCGGCCCAAATCCATCCCCTCGCTCAGCGAAAGCAAGTGCTTCTTCTTGCCTTTGTGTGTGTGTGTCCCCAGCGGCGCTGCTGCCTGCCCTTCGCCCTGGCCCTGCCCGAGGGAAGGGGGCACCTCCACCACTCCCCTGCTCTGGGTTTGGGGTTGTCAGGATCAGTCCTGCCCTGGAAGGGTCCTGTCCTTTGGCCTCTGCAACCACCTCTGTCCTCGCCTGTTTCCAGGCTGGTTTTCCCCCATGTCCAGCTCCCCAGAGTGGCTCCCACAGGATGCATGGTGGCAAGACCTGCTTTGGAGCTGACTCGGGGAAGTGGGACCCTCCTGGCACTGTTTTAAAAGCTGGGAGGTTGTTGCTCATTGCTGGTTTGGAGATGGAGGTGTGATGGAGGTGGGCAAAAGGGGCTGAGAAGGGAGTGAGCACAGAGCTGCCCAGAGCCCTCTACCCACTCTGCACTGAGTGTGATTGGCCCTGCGGTGAGTCTGAGCCCCTGGCCAGGGTCACCCCATGCCCCATGGTGTCAGCTGATCCCCCCGTGGGAGAAGAGGTGAGTATGAAGAGGCAGGAGATGATCCACCTCATGGATGGGGGGTACCTGCTGTGGGGTCACAGTCCCTCTTGGTTGCAGTGGGGCCAGGGGGTGTTGGTTGCTGCAGGCAGGGCTTGTGCAGCTTGCCATGTGGAGGGCAGAGGCCATCAATGAAGGGTGGGCACAGTGGGCAGGATGGGTACAGACAAGGCTGGGGGGGACTTGGGTATGGGGGGCAGTTCTCCTGCTGGACACAAGTCCAAGTGCAGCACAGACCTGCAGGACATCCATGGTCTCAGCTGCACAGGGCAGATGTCTGTGCTGGGGTGGAAGAGAAGAGCAAGCAAGGGGGTTCTCAGCACTGGGGGGTTTCACACCCCCCTTTTGTATCGGAGGCTGGGGGGCTGTTGCCAAGGGTGTCCTTGGGCAACATGCCTGTTCCAAAGGTGTCCCTGAGTGTTCCCTGCTGGCATAGACACAGCTCCTGCTCCAGAAACACTCCAAAAGCATGTCACCCTGGGTAGCTGAGAGGACGGGGTGTGCTGTGCAAGGTGCCTCTCCTGTTCCCAGCACAGCAGGGCAGGGCAGGATGGTGCTGGCCTCAGCCACCCTCTCTTCCCCTTGGGTTCCTTGCAGACAGCGTTGAGGATGAGTTTGAGCTCTCCACCGTCTGCCACCGCCCCGAGGGGCTGGAGCAGCTCCAGGAGCAGACCAAGTTCACTCGCAAAGAGCTGCAGGTCCTGTACCGAGGCTTCAAGAACGTGAGTACTCCTTGACCAGCTTTGTTAGCCCTGCCTCTGCTGCCATGCCCACCTTGGAGGGTGCTTTGCACCCAGTGGTGCCCAGGGTTTGCAAAGGCTTTTTGGACCTTAGGATTGAAGCTTATCAGGCTATGGCCTGATCCGACCTCCAGGGAGCTCAGCTGGGAGGTCTGATCCTGTGCTCCATGCCTTGGGTGCCTGGAATGCAGAGCCCCTCCAGTGAGGGGTGCAGCACACAAAATTAGGGAGATGCTTCAAGCTGCCTTAGATCCGCCTCACCAAGCAGTGCAGAGCTGCGAGGCATGGCAGGGGAGATGCAGGGATTCAAGGGGATTCAGTTCAGCCCCTCTCTGTAACATGGAGGTGATGCTGTGGCTTGCCCTGGCAGGAGTGCCCCAGTGGCATTGTCAATGAAGAAAACTTCAAGCAGATCTACTCACAGTTCTTCCCGCAGGGAGGTGAGTGCCCATCCCTGTCCCCATTGCCATGCCCTGCACGGGTGCCTCCACAGAGCGAGGGTTTACATGGCACCCCCTCACACTGTTTACCTTCCCTCAGACTCCAGCACGTACGCCACCTTCCTCTTCAATGCCTTCGACACTGACCATGACGGCTCCGTCAGCTTTGAGGTGAGCTGTGACCAGGGAGGAGACGGCAGTGGGGCAGGGAGGGCATGTCCCTGGGCAGGGCTGCGCAGTGCTGCTGCTGGAGATGGATGAAGAGCTTCACAGGGCCTGGTGGAGTTTATTAAATTCCCAGAGGCAGTGGGGAAGCAGTGAAAAGCAATAAAAAAGGAGCCTTTCTGTATTTGTTGTCTTGTAGGCACCCAGGGTGGCAGGCACAGCCATGGCTGGGTCTTGTTCAGGCTTTGGCTGAACATCAGGTCCTAATGCACATTGTTTTGTTGGGTCCTGGGACCCAAGTGTGGGACATATTTGGGGACATTCAGTTTTCTACAGGCTCTTTTGAATACTCAGTATTTCCCTTGCCAGCCCAGCCCTGGGGCACACTTGCTTTAGGGCTGAGTTCCCCCTCTGCAGGAGGGACAAGCAGGGCTGTGCCCTGTGTCCATGAGACACTTTGTGGATGCAACTGCATGTGTCTGCCTTGTCCATCCTTGCAGGACTTTGTGTCTGGGCTGTCCACCATCCTACGGGGCACCATTGATGATCGCCTGAACTGGGCTTTCAACCTCTACGACCTGAACAAAGATGGCTGCATCACCAAAGAGGTGGGATGAGGGGTCCAGGATAGTCCCTGAGGCCGGGACAAATCTGTCCCTGGAGGGATGAGGGCAGGACTCATGGGCATTAGCTGAGCATTGGAGGAGATCTGGGGGGTGTCAATATTTACTGAGCTCAGCTTTTCAGACAGGTCCCTCCTGGCCCCCTGACACTGGTGTGTCTCTGAGGTGGAGGGTGGATGAGGGCTCTGCTTCTTCCTCCATCACACATGCAAGTATACACATGGCCCCACACTGTGCACAGAGCTGGCAGTAACACTCCTAAGCACCCCACAGGTCCTTTGAGAGCATCATGAAAAAGATGTGGGTTGGGCACCAGGTGGAGGCAGAGCCCCATGTTGACCTTGCAACCTTGCTCCCCATCCCTCCAGGAAATGCTGGACATCATGAAGTCCATCTATGACATGATGGGCAAATACACCTACCCAGCCATGCGGGAAGAAGCACCCCGGGAGCACGTGGAGAACTTCTTCCAGGTGAGCTGAGTACATTCTGGGGAGGCAGAACTCCAGAGAGAGCCAACAGCTGCCCCAAACCTAGCATGGTGCAGGAGAAAACACCCCACAGTGGGGATGAAGCAAGACTGTGCTGGATCCAGGAACAGAAAAGGCCTTTCTGGTCCTGCTGGGTGCTTGGGGATGGCTGGGGTAGTGGGATGTGGGACTCAAGCAGGGGATGCTGGGCTCTTCGTGGGACTGTCCCTGCCATGCCCCCCGTGCTGTGCTTGTCTGCAGAAAATGGACCGAAACAAGGACGGTGTGGTGACAATCGAGGAGTTCCTGGAGTCCTGCCAGAAGGTAAAGCCACCTGCAGCTCTGCTCTGGGGCTGGGTCACCTCACTGTCCCCTGGGGACCTCTGTTCCCTCCATTGCCTTCCTGGCAGAGCAGGCTGAAGGCGGGGCTTCCAGGGGCAAGGCTGGGGCTCTGCTTTGGGAACTGTATCTGTGCCTGCATCTCTGTGCTGATGAGGAGAGTGGGGCTTGGAAACTGCCTGTAATCCCTGAGGCTCTTGTCCCATGGGTCAGAGATGCCATGAGGTTAAAGCCAGGCTTGAGGGAAGCTGCCCAGATTGCTGTTCCACCTGTTTCCTGCATCCTCCCTGCAGGATGAGAACATCATGCGGTCCATGCAGCTCTTTGACAGTGTGATTTAGCTCCCGGACCTGCCTCCAGCTGAGCTCTCCTGCCACTGGGCCCAGAACCTGCTTCTCTCTCGACTTTTCCTTCAAGCCTCCTCTCCACCGGCTGCACAGACACCTCCATGAAAACAGGTCTCCCTTCCCGGAGACACGGTCAGCGCTGGGATGCTCCCTTCCCCCTGGGCTGGCTCTGCTTTCCTTGGGGGATCCCATGCAGGTGCTTCTGGACATTGGAGCATGGGCATGGCTGACACGGGGTGAGCATTTGGCCTAGATGGACCTCTCTGCACCTGCTCCCAGCAGGGAAACTGCATCCTTTGGCTGTGATAGATTTCCCCCATGCACAGCGTCCCGTGCAGCCACAGCACCCCATCCCTGACCCTCCTCAGCCCTGGGAGCCCCCAGCACTGGCTGGGGGCTCCCAGCCCAAACCCTCCAGAGGTCTTGCACCAGGTGCCAGCGCCTTGGCTTCCTCCCGTGCCCTGGCTGTGCCCTGCCACAGGAAGCTTGTCCGGCATGTCCACCAGGAGCTGCTGGCCACCCTCATGGGCAAAGCGGCCATGCCTGGACAAGGCAGCTGCACAGGCACTTGGGGTTCATTGCTGCATGAGTTTTAGGGAGCAGCCCCTCACTCTGGAAGGCTCAGTTAGTCCTAGGAGGCTCATCCCGATGTGGAATGAGGAGAGACTAAAGGGACCTCAAGGTGCTTTCTTGTGGCACTCGTCTCCCAGAATGGAGGATGCAGGGCTGGGAGAGCTGCAACCTTAGTTCCTATCCCTCGAGGTTGGGGTGCTGGCACACAGGGAATGTCAGGGATCCACTTCGAGGCTCCAATGGAGAGACACCCTTTCCACCTCTCCCCAGTACACAGCAGCCACGGTATGGGGACACATGGAGGAGGGAGATGTGCTGGCCTCCATCAGCCAGCCTGCCTCTTGGGCCTCACAGCCATGCTCCCAGCACCATTTGCTGCTGACCTTCCCCTGCTCCCATGTCCTGCTCACCCCAGCCTACCCAGGGTACTGGGTAGTGAGCAGTGGGGCAGAGAGGTGTCCGTACAGGCAAAGCCCTGTGCTGGTGACATGGCTGAGCTGGCAGCTCCTTGGAGACGAAGTCAAAGCTGGGACTGCCTAGGAGTCAGTCCTGTTGCTGTGCTTCCAGAAGGATGGAGGGTCACCTTTAGGCAGGGCAGGCTCATCCCCTTCTCCTGGTGTGGCCACATGAGACCCTGCCTGTGGACCTCACGGATGGATACAGCAGCCTGGGGCTCCTTATGCTTTTGGCACTACCAGCTCCTCAGAGCTGGGTCTGCGCAGGCAGGCCTCAGCTGTAGCTAGGACAGTGATGCCCATGGGATAATGAACCCATGCCAACCCCAAAAGCCCCTCTGTGCAATCCCACAGGCATTGGGAACATATCCAAACTCATCACTCCCTGGCTCTGCTGCTCCAGCCTCTGCGTCCTTTGCAGCCAAAAGCAATCAGGGCTGGCCCCAGCTGTGATGTCTGAGATTAAAGGGAAGGGCTGAGCAAAGCCAATACCCATGCTGGGCTGGGCCCTAGACCCAGGCTGAGCTCCTGGTGTTGGAGCTGTCAGAAACCCTAATCTAAGGGCCCTGAGCCAAAGCTATGGGGCTGCTCCCCAGCAGGACTGCCCCTGGCCCAGCCCTTGCAGATATGATGTGTTTTTTAGGTTCATTCAACACATTGCTCATCTCACAGTCCCATTCCTGGGTTTGCCGTGGGGCTGAGTTCCCATGTGCAGTCTCCCACGGGTGGGAGGGCAGGTATCCCAACCCTTACGCCTCACAGCTCCGTCTCCCTGTCCTCCCTCTCTGTGGTACCCACCATCCCTTGCCACATGGAGCAGATGCCGCCACCCCCCTCACGCTGCAGGTCGCATGGCGTGACCCCCCTGCCCTGGGGCATGGTGACCCACAACCCGCTTGGCATCTCCAGTCTGTATATTTTGTATTATAACAATAATATGGTTAAAAAAAAAAGAATAAAACCAAACAAAAATACAATAAAATCTAACCACAATCGCTATGCACACCACCGTTATGTCTTTGCATCTGTCAGCTCCCTGGGGATAGTGGGGGAAATAGGGGCTGAGTGTCTCTGCAGAGGGTTAGCAGCCTTTTTAGGGTGCTCTGCATGGGTGCTCTGGGATATTCACTGGGGACAGGGTTTCAAACAGCCTGCCCATGCCATTGATGGCCCTGTAAGAAGAGTCTTGCACATGCTAAAAGGCTGTGAGCTGGAGCTGTCAGGTGTTTTTGCAGCTTGTCATAAGATGCTGCTGGGTGAACTGGAGCTTGGAACCAGGTGGCCCTTGTCAGAATGTGGCATTTAAGGCTGAGCTAAGAAGATAGCTACCATGTTGAACAGGTAGGTATGGACTGGACATGGGTTTCTTTTAGGGATGTAAATTGATGGATGATCACTGGTCCTTGGAAAAGTGTAGCCTTGGAAACTGGGAAAATGGACTGAAGCAAAACAAAGAAAAAAAGCAGCAGGTAAGTAAGAAAACAGCAGAACAACAGGGTACTGGACTTGATAGGGGACAGTGACACGCTCCAGCATTATGCAGTCTGTGGTGCAGGAACTGAAGGCTCAATGAGAAGAGCTGCCTGGAGTCCGAAGCATTCTTAAAGGATGGGCCCTGGCCATGGGGAGAATTACCACTGTGTGACTGGGAAAGCTGTGAGTCTGCTCTTTCCAAAGCCTCTGACTCCCCAGGGATCTTTCTGACCTGCTAGCTGTGGCACAGGTCTCTGTAAAGCAGGAGGAATGGACCCGAGTCTGTTTCCCCCTGCAACCCACCCTTCCCAGTATATCCTATCCTCTGCTTTCAGAGGGAAAGACCAGTTATGTGGGAAAACAGCTTAGCAACTGGATGAGGCAGCTGATGCAGCCTAGGGCAGTGATTCATTCCAGTATCCTGAATACTGCCTAGAAACACAAACATCTTGGAAAAGGATGAGATCCCAACACTGGGAGAACTGCTACTGCACGAATGTTCTGGCACTATCAAAGCTGTGAGCCTGATGCCCGCTTCAGGGTCCCTTCTGACCTAGCAGCCAACTGCCCAGCTCTGCGTATGGTGGTATTGAGAGTACCGTGTGCTTTCCACACAAATTCTACGCCTTTCTACTCTCTACCTTTTCTATAAAGCCTTGTTGCATGGCAACACAAGGTAGGTACTACTTAGGGTAGCAGTACAATTTCTATTTTTGCTCTTTGAAAGCTTTCGATTGGACACGATGGCAATTAGAGACACTCCTTGGCCAGGCTCTTTGCTGAAGCTTCCTGAGCACAGGTACAGGCAGATAGAAACGCAGCCATCTTGGGTTTCTCATCATGCTGAAATATCATCAGTGAAAATAAGCTCAAAGAGCAAGAAACAGCTTTCAAAAACACAAGAGGGAGGTTTGAGGAGAGCTGAGTGAGCTGGGTAAGGGTGAACGGTGTCCAAATCAGGAGCAGGGGTATTTTTAATTGGGTTTCATTCATTCTGTTCTGTCTCGTCTAAAACATGACATGGCTGCCATGATGTCTGCAGCCTTCCTCCAGCCCCTCCTCACAACTGAGGTTTCCAGCAGCTTTTTGCTCACTGGTTTCTCATTGCTGGTACCTGCTGTGGCCTCCCCAGTGCTAGGTGGGCTGGAAGGGCTACCCTGCTGATCTCTCTATGCAGCCTCAGGGAATGTGGCCTTTTCAGCCCTGTGGTCTCTGAGTCATGCTCTGGGTCCCAGTCCCCCACGCTTCCACACGGCTGGAGCTTCTCCCTGAACACATGTCGCCTCAGGCCCCTGCTCTGAATTACTGAGCTGCTCCCAGCTTCAAAGCCCATCCTCATAGCTGCTTCTAGGCATGCAAACACCGGCAAAAGTAACATCACCCCTGAGAGCAGGGTAAGAACAGCTTCAAAGGCTTTTCCCTCTGCAGCCCCACAGCTCGGTATCCTATCCACCCCGAACAACGATTAGCTTATGGGCTGCCGTAAACAGGAAGCTGCGGCGGCCCTCAGCGGCGGAGACAAAGGGGTTGTGGAGAGGGGAAAGAAAAGGATCGGGGTGGCTCGGCTCGGCCCGGCCCAGCGAGTGGGGGTCCTGGCGGCGGGCGGCAGGATGGTGCAGAAGGAGGGGCAGGCGGCGCTGGAGGAGCCCCAAGGTAGCCCCAACCCAGCTGGCGTGCCCGGCGCTCCCTTAGAACCGCCGGGCGCCGCCGCAGGCCCGGTGCCGGGGGGTGAAGAGACTGACACCGAGACGGAGACCGCGCTAGGCTCCCGCCGCTTCCTCTGCGGCGTCGTGGAAGGTAAGAGCTCTCGGAGGGGGGTCCGATATCCCCGGGGCATGGGAGGTGTTTGGCGATGGGGGGGGAGTCGGTGTCCGTGGGAGGCCTGGTCCCAGGTGGCGCTGCTGCTCCCTCCCGGCTCCTCCCCCGCCTCGCTGCGGCGCCCAGAGGAGCCCGCTCTTCGAGGAGGGTGGTGCGGGGTGCTTGGCCGCAGCTCCCTCCGTGAGAGAGGAGAGGCTGCGGGGGGGGGGGAGGAGCCGCGGCTCCCGGGCGGGGCTTCTGCCTCTAGGTCTGGTGGTGGAAGCTGCTCGCTAGCGGGGAGTGCCCTTTGATGGCAGCTGCTCGGCCGGGTGAGGGCACGCCTGGCACCCCCGGCGGCTCGACGGTACCTGATGGAGGCTGAGGCAGTGCTGTGGCTCGCTTGCTAGTGCGTGTCTAAAGAGAGAGGTGGGAGGGAGAGAGGAGAGCTGCTGTGCGGTTGCCCAGCTGTACATGCTCTTGCTCTGCGCCAGAGGCTCAGATTCAGTTTGCTGGGTAGGGGATCGGTGATTCCATAGTTCTGGATTTAATATTAAATGCTTCTTAATCTCGGAAGTGTTGTAGTTTACCATTTGAATTGCGCTGTAGAACAGTAATCTGTCTTTTGGTGTTGATGCACCATTAAAAGGTTTAAGTTGTTGCAGAAGCTGCAGAATAAAGGGACTCTTTTTGCATTTCTCGATAACTGCAGGATTTATCTGCATTTATGACAGGCCAGTTAAAGCAGATGTTTGAATGCCAGCAAGAAAAATGGTTTATTCCTAACATAATAGATGGTTCAGAATTGTTATAAATTCCTGTGGACTACTATTATATCTGCACCTATAATGAATCTCCGGTAGGAGAACAAAATGATTACCAGAATATAGAGGGTAATACGCAGTTTATCAAAGTCAGTATCTGCACTGCTTTCAGAATGCCTTTTGTTCATACCGTAGAAAACTCCATTTGGCTTCTGCAAATGTCATTGTGCTGAGTGGAGTAAAGTCTTTATTTTGAGCACTTGCTAGACCTTAAATCCAGTCAACATAGAGATGCCTTTGTTAATAGAATTGTGTGAAGATAGATGC